GATGATCTGCTTTAGTTCATTTTCACAGAAAAGCATAATGCCTCACAGAAAAGCAAATTTAGGGTGTCGTACTCATAGCGCCATCTGTTGGACATAAAAGCCTTAACCTAGATTATATATTTTAATTTATATGAATGTTTAATGGAATAATATACAGCCTATGTCCACCCCTGAGGTTCCATTCTAAATATTGATGAAATAATTTTTGAAATCGGATGAGTAGTTTTGGAGATTACCTGCTGCAAACAAACTTACATACATACTTACAAACATTACCTCTTTATTATAATAGTATAGATAAAATGACAAAAATTTCGGAGACTAGAACTGATTAATTGCATTTGAATTAATTTCTATGGGAAAAATTGCTTCGGTTAATGAACAATTCAGTTAACGAACGGAGTCGCGGAATGGATTAAGTTTGTTAACCGGGGTTCCACTGTACCACAATTTAGAAAACAAGTAGAAGAAGAATTGAATAAGGAGCTAGGCAACTTGAAAGATAATAATCATTCTGACTAGGGTTTCTCATTTCCCGGTCTTTTGCTTGTCCCGGGATCCCAGGATAAAAGTGAACTGTTTCCCGGGATCCCGGGAAATCCCGGGATAGAATTAATTATTTTTAAGGTATACAAAATATCTTGAAATCAAATGATATAATTATTTTCCATTTTTTAAAGTAATTTTAAAGTTCTGTAACCTCCAAAATCATATTAATAATGCTGTGTAAGGTCTATAGGCCTATAATAAAAATTACCTTTAAATAACGTAGAAATTTTCACAAATAGAAAAAAATTAATTAAAGTTTGCTGGAAACTGCATACAACAACAACAAAAAAAAATGTTTTGAATTGAGTTAAAAATTAAAAAAAATGAACTTCTAATTTAGAAGGTAATTTTCGTTTTTTAAATAAAATATAATACAAAATATTGCAAACTTTTATAAGATTTTAAAAAGCAAAGATGGTCAATACTCCGATAACTCACTCTAATTCTTATTTTAGTAATGAAAAGTCTTGCCACCGAGAATGCCCTTTCCGATTCAATTGATGTGATTGGAATAGTGTTTAATGCATTTAAGAGAAGACAGATATTATGTGTTTTTTCACCTGTAGCCTGGAAGCTTTCGAGTTCGTTTTCGAGATTGTAGTACTTCTTTCGCTCTCTAGTATTCTTGATTTGTCTACCTTGGCTGCTTTAATAGCGGCATCAAGCTTAGAGCTCGATAATTCGGCAATTCATTTGGCTTTAATAATCAGGTTTATGAAGAAAAACTTCATACTTGCAGACTTTGTACTCGTTTGTATCCTTGCCCAATTTGCACAATCTGGCGTCAGGCATTTATTGAAGCTACTGGGCATGGTTAAAACTCAAGACAGCGTAAGCACAATTATTCCAGATATTACAGGTTCCGACAAGTAAAGAATTTTTATAGTCATGCCACAAATAAGCTATATATTGATTATTGACCATTTGTGACATGCTATAACGAGCAAAAATTTAAAAAAACTAATAGGTAGGTTTAAAATTAATAAATACAAATGTATTCTGACAGTGAATGAGTTAATTATGCTTTCTATTTGCAAAATTCCTCAACCTTAACACAAAATAAGAAAAAAAGTGAATTTTTAAGAAATTTGTGGGATTTCCCGGGATATTTCCCGGGTTAAAAAAACAACCAGGATCCCGGAATCCCGTTTGAGAAACCCTAATTCTGACGTACAGACACTATGGGAAGATCTGAGGGACATCTTGTTCAAAGTCTGTCACAAAAACCTAAAATCAACCTGTAAAGTCAAGAAGAAAAGATGGATGATGGAAGAGATACTGGACTTAATGGAAAAATGAAGACTAACAAAAAATGATGCAGAAACATACAAATGCATCAATGACATTATAAAGGTAGAGATAAAAAAGGCCAAGGAGGAATGGATAAAGAGAAACTGCAACAAAATCGAAGACCTCGAAAAAGAACATACGTTCCCGATGCGTAAGAAAAGCAAAGAAATGACGGGTTCATTCAAGTGTCATCGCTCTAATATACTAATGGATGCTAATAACAGTCCTATTATTGATGAAAATGAACTGAAAAGCACGTGGAAACATTACGTTGAAAAACTTTTTGATGAGGAAAGACCAACACCCATAAATAAAGACCCAATAGAAGGTCCTGAAATACTCAACAAAGAAGTAAAGCATGCCATTCATATCACAAAGAATAAGAAAACTCCCGGACCTGACAAAATCTCGACTGAAATTGTGAAATTGATCAAAGATGATAATATTAAACTAATTACTAGATTATTCAATCGGATCTACAATACTGGCACAATACCAAAAGACTGGTTAAAATCAACCTTTGTAACAATCCCTAAAACAAGTCATCCTAAAAGATGTAGTGACTACAGACTCATTAGTCTTATGTGCCATGTACTGAAGATATTTCTACATATGATACACGCCAAGATATATAAAAAATGTGAAATTGACCTTCAAGAAACTCAATTTGGATTCAGAAATGCTTTTGGAACAAGGGAAGCGTTGTTTAGTATCAATGCCCTTCTCCAGAGATGTCGTGAACAACAACAAGACATTTAATTATTATGCCTTTTTGTCCTTTTTTACACTATTTATAATTTATTTTGTATACTAGTACATTCTATATATTAACAGGACTTATTATACTGGAATTATGGATGCAGATATTTAGTCTTACAGTTTAAAAATAATGTTCTTTATTAAGTTCACTTTATTAAGGTGAACTTAATAAAGAACATTATTTTTAAACTGTAAGACTAAATATCTGCATCCATAATTCCAGTATAATAAGTCCTGTTAATATGTAGAATGTAGTACTAGTATACAAAATAAATTATAAATAACAACAAGACATATTTGCTTGTTTCATAGATTATGAAAAGGCTTTCAATAGCGTGAAACACTCCAAATTAATAGAGATTCTACACCAAGTTCAATTAGATGGCAAAGACATCAGAATAATCCAAAATTTATACTGGGGTCAAACAGCAGAAGTCAAGTTAGGAACAGTGAAAACAGCAGAAATTGAAATACAGAGAAGAGGCTGGCAGGGCTGCATTCTTTTGTCCCTATTGTTTAATCTATACTCAGACAAAATCTTCAAAAATGCCTTATAAAACTCAAGTTATGGGATTAAAATCAATGGCATAATTCTTAACGTCATTAGATATGCTGATGATACACTAATCATATGCGATAGCCTAGAAGGCTTACAGATACTACTAAACAAAATTAACTCAGCAGGAATTGATGCTGGTCTCAAAATAAATGCAAACCAAACTAAATTTATGATCTTAGTCAGACTCCACACAGAGAGGCACAACTTGTTCTTGACCAAAAAATAATTGAACGTGTCAAACAGTTTAAATACTTGGGAAGCATAATTACAGAAAATCTAGATTCAGGGAGAGAAATTAAATGCAGGATAGCAGCAGCTTGAACATCCTTCCGAAAAATGAAAATCCTGCTCTGCAACAACAATTTAAATTTGAAATTGCGGCAACGCATGGCCGAATGTTATATTTGGTCAGTTCTCCTCTATGGTGTGGAAAGCTGGACATTAAAAAGGAATACAGAAAGAAGGCTGGAGACATTTGAGATGTGGATTCACAGAAGGATGCTGAGAGTCCCATGAACAGATTGAGTGACCAACAACGAAGTTCTAAGCAGAGCAAGAACAAACAGAAAATTGCTGTCAACGATCAAATGCAGAAAGATTG